CTAAATTAATATCAGACATATTTGAAGATTAAGGAGAGGGAGTGGTCATAGTGAAACATCCAAACATTTAGTATCTCTGAAAAGCCCTGAATGTGCTCTGTACAGCACATCCAGACTTAAAACTGTGACATGTACAGTCTCAGAGAAATTCACAAAAATATAATGTCCTCATACGAGGATGCAAGGTCTCAGGAGGATAGTATAGATTAGGTAGGAGTCAAGACCCATCATAAAAACTCTCAGTTAAAAGATGTGATTTCACGCATGGCTTTAAACACGGGTAGTGTTTTAGTAGATCTAATAGCGACGGGGAGCTCGTTCTATAATTTTGGACCGGCTCTGGAAAAAGCACTATGACCCTCATATTTGTATTTGATCTTAATAACACAGAGAAGGTGTTGTTTTTCTGACCTCGAGGATCTGGAAGGAGTATATACTGACACCATACTGGACAGGCAACCCAGGGCTAGATTATGTAGGGCCTTAAAAGCAAGAATAAGAATCTTATAAATAATTCTATGCTGTACTGGCAGCCACTTTAATGAATGAGTCGTGTTTTGTAGCAGACTTTGCCGCCATTCTTGCCGCTGCATTTTGGATTTTCTGTAAGCGCGCTAGTGCACCCGCACCAACTCCATAATACAGGGAATTACAATAATCCATTCGAGTAAAGACACTAGCTGATATAGTTTTTTTTCAAAGTCTGCAGTGGAAAGAAATGGTTTAGTCTTAGCTAACAGCCATAACTTGAAAAAACAAGATCTCACCACTGTATTAATTTGGCTGTCCATCTTTAAATCACGATCAAACACAAACCCCAAGTTTTTCACACTGGGTTTCATATATCCAGACAAAGGTGTTTTTTTATGCACTAAACCACCATGTGCTTTCTAGGGCCAAAAACAATAACCTCAGTGTTCGTTTGCAGCCATCCAAACCTTAACCTCCTGTAAACATGCTGATAGAACATCAAATGAGTTTGAATGTAATGCTTTCACAGGCAAATAAATATGAGTATCATCCGCATAACAATGAAATGATACTTTATACCTCCATTGAGGTTACTTAACTTTATATCTCCATTGTCTATGTATAAAAAAATAATATTTTCACATAATTATCAATGATTTGATACAATTTTAGGCCACAACAGATTTCCTTTAATATCCAGACAAAGGTGTTTTTTTATGCACTAAACCACCATGTGCTTTCTAGGGCCAAAAACAATAACCTCAGTGTTCGTTTGCAGCCATCCAGGCCTTAACCTCCTGTAAACATGCTGATAGAACATCAAATGAGTTTGAATGTAATGCTTTCACAGGCAAATAAATATGAGTATCATCCGCATAACAATGAAATGATACTTTATACATCCATTGAGGTTACTTAACTTTATATCTCCATTGTCTACGTATAAAAAAATATTATTTTCACATAATTATCAATGATTTGATACAATTTTAGGCCACAACAGATTTCCTTTTTCTCTCTCTATACTGTACAGTATTTACTGTTCATTCAATCATATTCCTTTTAATGAAACATTTTTGCATTGCTATTGCAAGGTTATAACTATCGCTATTGCGTTATGAATATACTCAAATTATTTAAAGGGATAGTTCACCCAAAAATGAAAATCATGTTCCCAAGTCCAGAAACGTAGCAAGGAGATCGGTAAAATAATCCATGTGACATAAGTGGTTCAACCGCAACTATACGAAGCTACGAGAATACTTTTTGTGTGCAAAAGAAGAAAAATAACGACTTTATACAACAATTCGTCAGCTGCGTCACGCCGGATCTGTTTCCTACGTTGTTCTGAAGGAAACAGCGTATCCGTGTGACGCAGCTGACACAGAACAGCATACGCTGTTTACGTCCAGCGGATACTCTCCAAAATGGCACCAGGGTGATGCGGAGGAGACGAATTGTTCAATAAAGTCTTTTTTTTTTTTTTTTGCGCACAAAGAGTATTCTTGTAGCTTCGCATAATTGCGGTTGAACCACTGCTTGCACCTTGCTACGTTTCTGGACTTGGGAACATTTCAGTTGCGTTGCTGTCTATGGAGGGTCAGACAGCTCTCAGATTACATCAAAAATATCTTAATTTGTGTTCCGAAGATGAACGGAGGTCTTACGGGTTTGAATACATGAGGGTGAGTAATTAGTGACATAATTTTCATTTTTGGGTGAACTATCCCTTTAATAGGTTATGAGAAAGTAATAAGGGAGAACTCATTATGATATGTATGTATATATGTAATGGAAAACAGTATAAATAAGTCTAATCAGTGTCCTAGGCATGCATGCTGCAAAGTTTCCAGTAATACAATATAATCACAGATGTTAAATATATAAATACACTACCAGTTAAAAAAGTTGGGAATAATTAAGATTATTTAATGTTTTTGAAGCATTTAAAAAAACTTTATTATTCCAAACATTTGAAATCCATATCTTTTTTTCCACATAATTAGATTGAAAACGAAAGTGTCACACTCCTGGAGGGCCACGGCCTTGCAGAGTTTAGATCAGGGGTCTCCAACCCTGCTCCTAGAGAGCTACCGTCCTGCAGACTTCAGCTACAATCTCATTCAAACACACCTGAACCAGCTAATCAATGTGTTCGGGGAACGGGATTTCACCAAGTACAAGATGTTCCTGGATCAACCTACTTGTTGATCCTGGAACAACATTCCAATCAACCAATTAGAATTGAGGGATAAGTATTCAAGAAATGCCCGTTTTAGGCTTACAACCAGGTTTAGATGCTTCTACGCCCTTGTTATTCACTTATCATTTCCCTCTGATTTTAGGAATAAATTATTGGTAGGGCTAGGTTTAGGGGTAGGGATTGGGTTGGGTCTATATTTTTGGACAGTAATGTTGATCCAGGAACATGTCTTACTTGGAAAGAAGGCAAGCCTGCAACCTTTAGCCAAAAAAGTTTAATGGCTAATGTTAATACTTCCGCTTTGGCAGTACGTGGGAAGGGAGACCAGAGGGCGTTTTTTCTAATGGATGTCAATGGAGGAGAGGCTTCACTACGCTGAATAAACAGCTTCTTAGAAGAAACAGCTTATCATTTAATGAATCGACAGCCTGTCGGTTAATTTTCAACATATTTTACAATAAACAATTCTTTTGGATTGAACTATTTTTAGAGTTTACACCGAGAAAAAAAAACAGTTTTATAAGAGAAGTCACTGACCTTTTGCGACAGATGGGATTCGGCTTACAGCACTTCTAATTAATTCCTATGGTAATCGTAAATGGCGATTGAGTGTCGCACAACTCTGACTCTAAATGTCGCTGTAATGTGATTGGTTATTAAGGCCCACGTGATCCAAGTTGACCGTTACGCTTTCTCCAATAGTACTGTAAGTAATACAGACCCTTTCATCTCTCAATAGTAAGACAATCTCTGACTGTAGTTCTCCAGGAGCAGGGATGGAGATCCCTGGTTTAGATTCAACCCTAATTCCAGCTAATCAAGTCCTTCAGGCTTATTTGAAAACTACATGGTATGTGTGTTGGAGCAGGGTTAGAACTAAAGTCTGTAGGGCTGCAGCCCACCGGGAATTGAGTTTGACACTGTGGTGTAAGGTTTTTAGCAGTCTCACCCTTCTTTAATGATGTCATAAAATAGGGCACTGTATGGGTTGTCATCTGGAGTGGCTCTGCAATACTCCACAAAGAGCCGGACCTCAGGGAGAGCAGAATGAGCTGCAATACCCATGTAGAGCATATCCATCAATTTTATCTCCAGTGGATACAGACTGGGATCTACCCGACTGCTGAAGTTATTGTTAGTAAAAATATCAAACATGGGTGACATGGGCAACCGCCAAGGGCAGCATTTAGCCAGGGGCGGCACAGGGTGACAATATGTCTCTGTTAACCTGGTCAATTAACCTGGTCGGGACTCAGAGTGTGTGTCAGGAACATACTTTTTAAACAGTTTTGTAGTGCCTACCAGACAAAATGTGATTTTAGATGCAGCTTTGTGTATTTGTGTGTATCCCCAGTCGGTGAACGTGATTTCACCAAGTACAACATGTTCCTGTGGAACAACATTCCAATCAACCAATTAGAATTGAGGGATAAGTATTCAAGAAATGCCCGTTTTAGGCTTACAACCAGGTTTAGATGCTTCTACGCCCTTGTTATTCACTTATCATTTCCCTCTGATTTTAGGAATAAATTATTGGTAGGGCTAGGTTTAGGGGTAGGGATTGGGTTGGGTCTATATTTTTGGACAGTAATGTTGATCCAGGAACATGTCTTACTTGGAAAGAAGGCAAGCCTGCAACCTTTAGCCAAAAAAGTTTAATGGCTAATGTTAATACTTCCGCTTTGGCAGTACGTGGGAAGGGAGACCAGAGGGCGTTTTTTCTAATGGATGTCAATGGAGGAGAGGCTTCACTACGCTGAATAAACAGCTTCTTAGAAGAAACAGCTTATCATTTAATGAATCGACAGCCTGTCGGTTAATTTTCAACATATTTTACAATAAACAATTCTTTTGGATTGAACTATTTTTAGAGTTTACACCGAGAAAAAAAAACAGTTTTATAAGAGAAGTCACTGACCTTTTGCGACAGATGGGATTCGGCTTACAGCACTTCTAATTAATTCCTATGGTAATCGTAAATGGCGATTGAGTGTCGCACAACTCTGACTCTAAATGTCGCTGTAATGTGATTGGTTATTAAGGCCCACGTGATCCAAGTTGACCGTTACGCTTTCTCCAATAGTACTGTAAGTAATACAGACCCTTTCATCTCTCAATAGTAAGACAATCTCTGACTGTAGTTCTCCAGGAGCAGGGATGGAGATCCCTGGTTTAGATTCAACCCTAATTCCAGCTAATCAAGTCCTTCAGGCTTATTTGAAAACTACATGGTATGTGTGTTGGAGCAGGGTTAGAACTAAAGTCTGTAGGGCTGCAGCCCACCGGGAATTGAGTTTGACACTGTGGTGTAAGGTTTTTAGCAGTCTCACCCTTCTTTAATGATGTCATAAAATAGGGCACTGTATGGGTTGTCATCTGGAGTGGCTCTGCAATACTCCACAAAGAGCCGGACCTCAGGGAGAGCAGAATGAGCTGCAATACCCATGTAGAGCATATCCATCAATTTTATCTCCAGTGGATACAGACTGGGATCTACCCGACTGCTGAAGTTATTGTTAGTAAAAATATCAAACGAGTAACTAAAAGTGCCAAAGCTGGATTCAGTGAAGATGTAGTCAGACTTCTTGTTGATGTAGTGGTTAGAAACACTGGCCACTTTGGGGTACTGGCAGGAGAAGCCTATTTTAACTTGACTGCGTCTGGTGATTACTTTATTAGGGTCCTCAAAAGAATTGATCTCATTTTTGAAGACCAAGACGTCTCCTGTGTCCTGATTGGCGTTCAAGCATGTGAAAAGATCAGGCAGAAGAGAAAACAGCGCTAAATATTATACGGCTGACTATCAGTTATTGTATTTAGATTGGATTGTATTAGACATTGGTTTTTGTACCTCCATCCTGGTACCACAGGTGTTGAGGGACACAGTGCCCAGGATATGGGTGTCATTGTAAGTAAGAGAGTAGGTGGGATCTCTCAGTTGGAGCCAGTTTTGATCAATCCCCTTCATGGAGGCTTTGCTTACTGCGATGCTGATACTATTATCCTCACAGAAGACCTCTGCTTCACCTTGAGAGATGTGATTCATTTATTGATTAATCTTAATAAAATGGCAACAACAATAAAAATAGCAAGGTATTATCAATGTACTGACAGGAAGAAAAATCCAAATCATAACATTGGAGTGGGGATTATTTGGGGAATAATCTGCTTGAAAACTGAGAACATTTATTTCAACAGCTTGCATGTTAATGAATATGACATTGTTAATGTACTGGTCTTGGTGGACTAGAGCAAGTACAGACTTTCTACTACTAATAGATACACAGACATGCTGTTGTGAGCATGTAAGATATTATATTAAGCATACATAAATCTATTAGCACATCTAGACAGGTGGTGCTGGGGGAGGTGGAGGGTTTCAAAGGATCAATTACAGGCCATTCGGCTTGTGTAATTTATTAAATGATGAGATTGCTAGCAAACTGCATCTAAAGGACCTAAATCTAAAGTTCCATCACTGAACTAGATATATCACAATATAAAATCAATGACAGAAACTGGGAAAATGAGCAACTATTTACATTTAAGAAATATTTTTTACCTGAGAGAACCCTCAGTTTTGCCACAACAATCACGATGCACCTCATTTCTGACTGACTTTTTATGGAGAGAAAGACAAATAACAGGTCATGGAAAAATTCATATCATGAATTCCCAATGAGCTAAAGGACAGACCTCTTTTTACCTCTGAAGTGTCTCTGCAGCGAAACACACAGGTACATGATGATGCAGGTCAGATTCTTGTGGTGTCCAGGTCAGCGTTGCCTCGGCAATTCCCTGACTTGCATTTCTCAAGCTCTTTGATATATTCCATGGTCCACTGACCTGGAAATCAAATGTACTACACAAGAGTGATAGAAAGATTAGATAACATTTATCTAAGTAACTGAAGCATGTAAAACCTGTTGGTTAAAACTAAACTGATCAAGTGTGCATGTTGTAAGGAGTGAAATTATTTCCTTATGATATTATCTGCTCATGAAACCAAGTCTTAGGAACTCACACAAAACAGATGCAATAAAACCATAAAACTAATCTGGAGAAGGGATCTCCAAAGAGAGCAAACAACACCTCTCTCCTTGCTCATTTACGACCCCCTTCTCCCCCCTGCCCTCTCTGCCTCTTACATACCGAGGCACCAATGGATGAACCATGGGGAACACCATTAGGGGCTTCCGATTTCTGACTGTCACTGGCTTAACACGGTGTAGCTCTCCTGGTTATAGGAAAAAATTCCTATAACATCCTATAACATAACTTTTTGTTATGAGCATGCAGGGTGCAGCTCACTTAAAGGTATTATAACCACTCTGCATCCTCTGAGTAAGTTCAGAACTGACGAGTTTGTGTCCGTGGGTTCACTAATCGGCCGAGTGCAATTCCTGTGCGATACCTCGTCCCTAATGAACGAATAATTGAAAGTATGGGATTTCCAGAATACTCAAATATCTCAATTAATAAACAATCGATATTTGTGATCAGTTTTTAATTAGGAACATTGCCTACATTTAGTGATCACTTAAAATTGGAGTCAGATTGAAAACGGAGCTAGGCTAAAATTGAAACTAAATCCTGATAAATTCAGAGGCGCAAGTAAAAGACCGAATACGTATTAAACCTTCGTGGATGAACCATGGGGAACACCATTAGGGGCTTCCGATTTCTGACTGTCACTGGCTTAACACGGTGTAGCTCTCCTGGTTATAGGAAAAAATTCCTATAACATCCTATAACATAACTTTTTGTTATGAGCATGCAGGGTGCAGCTCACTTAAAGGTATTATAACCACTCTGCATCCTCTGAGTAAGTTCAGAACTGACGAGTTTGTGTCCGTGGGTTCACTAATCGGCCGAGTGCAATTCCTGTGCGATACCTCGTCCCTAATGAACGAATAATTGAAAGTATGGGATTTCCAGAATACTCAAATATCTCAATTAATAAACAATCGATATTTGTGATCAGTTTTTAATTAGGAACATTGCCTACATTTAGTGATCACTTAAAATTGGAGTCAGATTGAAAACGGAGCTAGGCTAAAATTGAAACTAAATCCTGATAAATTCAGAGGCGCAAGTAAAAGACCGAATACGTATTAAACCTTCGACTAAGGCCGCTGGATTCCGCTTTTTGGGCCGCCGGGTGGATTCTTGCAATGTCAGACAACTTTATTTAGTAATGCGGAGCATTTCAACAGCTTTATCTAGCAATAGATCTTTACAAGATTACAAGATTAAATTAATTACTTTTACTTTTAATTGCAACAGAATTGATATATACAGCATATTTTTTATATTAGAATATTACAATTTTAATCTATTAGTCTGTATTAAATTGCTTAATGTACATCTATTTTAAAATACAATAATTTTTGTGCTGTCCATTACTATGTTTATCATTGTTCGTCAAGCGTAAATCCGTCATTTATGTAAACGTGGATGTCATTTCTGTAACTTTGCAGCATGTACATGACCATAATTTTAGCAGCAATAATGAATTGCTTATTTAGGCTATATCATGTTTGTTTTTGTGTGTGTGTTTTTTTTTTGTTGTATGAGAGGATTTGTGAGCATGCAACTCAGCACTGAACAAGTTTTGGTGAGCTCTCTGAGCTCTGGTCTTCTGGTATTTTGAGTGCTATTAAGTGGATTCGTTAAACACCTGATTGGCCATTGCTTTCAAGAAATCAACAGACATGCCTCTCAATGCAAAAACCTGCTGTAAATAGAAACCTTTTATGCTCACTAGAGTGCAAATACAAATGTGCACTGGAGCGTTTGCCAAATCCGTTTTGTCATGCTATTATTACAGATTCAACTGAGGTTGCTTTTGTTAAAACCCACAGAAGTGGGTCTGCAACTGATAGACCTTCTGAATTTATACAAAAGTCACCTGTTTATGATAAATGCATGTGTTGCATCTGTACACTATAGACTTTCCCTCTGGTCAGTAGTTGTGCTTGAACTTGTTTAGTTTATTTTAGGACCATGCATATTTCAGACCTGTGGCCCAAATTCTGGGCACGGATAGTGATAGTGTGAACACGTCCCACAGCTGCATGTTGAACATCTCCATGTAAGGGAGTTGGTGTCAGAAAACTTGGCCTGTTCACCCCTGGTTCACAACTGTGGACTGGTGTTTGGACTGCAAAACAGTGGAAACGGGATAGAATGTTGTAAATGCACAGACTTTTTTTAAGCCAAGCTGTAAAATATTTTAGTGTTTCTTTTTTTTCAATCCCTAATTCTTATCCAATAAATCACAAATGACTGAAAGTGTACATTCATTGTTTAAAAAAAATGGGAACCTTAATAAACATTCAGCTCAACGTCTGGAATCCTTAATAATTTACAGAAACTACAGTGTGTCAGACCTTCAAATATTGTTGTGGACAATTGGGGACAGGATTTAAAAAGGTTGAGAACCACTGATCTGTATGATTCTCACTCACTTTCTACTCCAAACTGCAGAGGCACTTGACTGAGTGGAGCTGGGTTAGCGCTGGCAGTCTGATTATAAGGATTTCTGAAAGAGATCCCATCGCCATTCATCAAAGTGATGTTTGATGCAGGATAATCCTCCAGCGTGAACTCAAAAACATGCAGTCTCAGGTCCAGTGTGCCATTACTACTCAAAGTGCACGAGTCCTAGATGCAGAAAAAATCAGATCACATATTTAGTGCATTGAAAACATGTACCATTTAAGTTGTAAAAAATGTGAAAAGTTTTTCAAAAGTGTAGAACATGGACAAATAAACTAAACTGAAAGACGTGGGAAACATTGTAGGCAGCAGATCTGTTAATGGTCATTCACGCCGAGTCACACCCCACACGAATTGAACAGTATCAGTTTTAATATTATTTCCTGATGTGGGTCAATGATAAAGATTAAGATTATTCATGGAAAACCTGTTCTTCATTCCTGTCAAGAAATTCAATCATTCAGTAATTTAAGTAATTAAATCAGTGCTTCTCAACTGGTTGGTCATGATACTAAAATGAACCAAAATGGGTCACTGGTTTGATGTGATAGCATGTTTTGATTTGCTGTTAATATGTGTAACTAAGCTTACAATGTGATACTCCAATAAGCACAAAGAATGCACAGCACACACAAATACTGGCTAAAAGAGTTACTGTTAAAGGGATATGTTTTTATCTCTATTGAATGAAATAGTAATATTTTTTATTCAACATTTCTGTGATCCATAATATTAAAACAGGGTATTTAAACTGCCACGGTAAAGTTCATTTGCCTGTGTAATCTGCATCTGAATATTTCATGGGAATGTATCATCAGAAAATGTCACCTCATCAAGATGTATGTTTGGGTGTTGATGGCAAGATTGGCACTTGCATCTCACATCATCTCCATCTGGATCATAGACCAGGAGGTGAAGACTCTGAAAACAGTTCTGAGGAACCCTGAAGAAGGACCGTTATCACAGACAATTGAAAGTTTTCTTGCAGTAGACAACGAAATATTCTGCACACTTTGGTGGTCACAAACATATTTGACTGTAGTAGACCACTCAACATCAAGTATTCCAGAAAGCTCTGGATAAAGTCTATAGAGTCTAGGGATAAATTGTCATTATCAAAAGCACACACCTTATGTTTGGTATTGTTGCTGAAACAGGCGACCTGTTTGTAGTCCGAGTGTCTGAACGTTGTCTGGATGAACCATGGGGAACACCATTAGGGGCTTCCGATTTCTGACTGTCACTGGCTTAACACGGTGTAGCTCTCCTGGTTATAGGAAAAAATTCCTATAACATCCTATAACATAACTTTTTGTTATGAGCATGCAGGGTGCAGCTCACTTAAAGGTATTATAACCACTCTGCATCCTCTGAGTAAGTTCAGAACTGACGAGTTTGTGTCCGTGGGTTCACTAATCGGCCGAGTGCAATTCCTGTGCGATACCTCGTCCCTAATGAACGAATAATTGAAAGTATGGGATTTCCAGAATACTCAAATATCTCAATTAATAAACAATCGATATTTGTGATCAGTTTTTAATTAGGAACATTGCCTACATTTAGTGATCACTTAAAATTGGAGTCAGATTGAAAACGGAGCTAGGCTAAAATTGAAACTAAATCCTGATAAATTCAGAGGCGCAAGTAAAAGACCGAATACGTATTAAACCTTCGACTAAGGCCGCTGGATTCCGCTTTTTGGGCCGCCGGGTGGATTCTTGCAATGTCAGACAACTTTATTTAGTAATGCGGAGCATTTCAACAGCTTTATCTAGCAATAGATCTTTACAAGATTACAAGATTAAATTAATTACTTTTACTTTTAATTGCAACAGAATTGATATATACAGCATATTTTTTATATTAGAATATTACAATTTTAATCTATTAGTCTGTATTAAATTGCTTAATGTACATCTATTTTAAAATACAATAATTTTTGTGCTGTCCATTACTATGTTTATCATTGTTCGTCAAGCGTAAATCCATCATTTATGTAAACGTGGATGTCATTTCTGTAACTTTGCAGCATGTACATGACCATAATTTTAGCAGCAATAATGAATTGCTTATTTAGGCTATATCATGTTTGTTTTTGTGTGTGTTTTTTTTTTTGTTGTAATGAGAGGATTTGTGAGCATGCAACTCAGCACTGAACAAGTTTTGGTGAGCTCTCTGAGCTCTGGTCTTCTGGTATTTTGAGTGCTATTAAGTGGATTCGTTAAACACCTGATTGGCCATTGCTTTCAAGAAATCAACAGACATGCCTCTCAATGCAAAAACCTGCTGTAAATAGAAACCTTTTATGCTCACTAGAGTGCAAATACAAATGTGCACTGGAGCGTTTGCCAAATCCGTTTTGTCATGCTATTATTACAGATTCAACTGAGGTTGCTTTTGTTAAAACCCACAGAAGTGGGTCTGCAACTGATAGACCTTCTGAATTTATACAAAAGTCACCTGTTTATGATAAATGCATGTGTTGCATCTGTACACTATAGACTTTCCCTCTGGTCAGTAGTTGTGCTTGAACTTGTTTAGTTTATTTTAGGACCATGCATATTTCAGACCTGTGGCCCAAATTCTGGGCACGGATAGTGATAGTGTGAACACGTCCCACAGCTGCATGTTGAACATCTCCATGTAAGGGAGTTGGTGTCAGAAAACTTGGCCTGTTCACCCCTGGTTCACAACTGTGGACTGGTGTTTGGACTGCAAAACAGTGGAAACGGGATAGAATGTTGTAAATGCACAGACTTTTTTTAAGCCAAGCTGTAAAATATTTTAGTGTTTCTTTTTTTTCAATCCCTAATTCTTATCCAATAAATCACAAATGACTGAAAGTGTACATTCATTGTTTAAAAAAAATGGGAACCTTAATAAACATTCAGCTCAACGTCTGGAATCCTTAATAATTTACAGAAACTACAGTGTGTCAGACCTTCAAATATTGTTGTGGACAATTGGGGACAGGATTTAAAAAGGTTGAGAACCACTGATCTGTATGATTCTCACTCACTTTCTACTCCAAACTGCAGAGGCACTTGACTGAGTGGAGCTGGGTTAGCGCTGGCAGTCTGATTATAAGGATTTCTGAAAGAGATCCCATCGCCATTCATCAAAGTGATGTTTGATGCAGGATAATCCTCCAGCGTGAACTCAAAAACATGCAGTCTCAGGTCCAGTGTGCCATTACTACTCAAAGTGCACGAGTCCTAGATGCAGAAAAAATCAGATCACATATTTAGTGCATTGAAAACATGTACCATTTAAGTTGTAAAAAATGTGAAAAGTTTTTCAAAAGTGTAGAACATGGACAAATAAACTAAACTGAAAGACGTGGGAAACATTGTAGGCAGCAGATCTGTTAATGGTCATTCACGCCGAGTCACACCCCACACGAATTGAACAGTATCAGTTTTAATATTATTTCCTGATGTGGGTCAATGATAAAGATTAAGATTATTCATGGAAAACCTGTTCTTCATTCCTGTCAAGAAATTCAATCATTCAGTAATTTAAGTAATTAAATCAGTGCTTCTCAACTGGTTGGTCATGATACTAAAATGAACCAAAATGGGTCACTGGTTTGATGTGATAGCATGTTTTGATTTGCTGTTAATATGTGTAACTAAGCTTACAATGTGATACTCCAATAAGCACAAAGAATGCACAGCACACACAAATACTGGCTAAAAGAGTTACTGTTAAAGGGATATGTTTTTATCTCTATTGAATGAAATAGTAATATTTTTTATTCAACATTTCTGTGATCCATAATATTAAAACAGGGTATTTAAACTGCCACGGTAAAGTTCATTTGCCTGTGTAATCTGCATCTGAATATTTCATGGGAATGTATCATCAGAAAATGTCACCTCATCAAGATGTATGTTTGGGTGTTGATGGCAAGATTGGCACTTGCATCTCACATCATCTCCATCTGGATCATAGACCAGGAGGTGAAGACTCTGAAAACAGTTCTGAGGAACCCTGAAGAAGGACCGTTATCACAGACAATTGAAAGTTTTCTTGCAGTAGACAACGAAATATTCTGCACACTTTGGTGGTCACAAACATATTTGACTGTAGTAGACCACTCAACATCAAGTATTCCAGAAAGCTCTGGATAAAGTCTATAGAGTCTAGGGATAAATTGTCATTATCAAAAGCACACACCTTATGTTTGGTATTGTTGCTGAAACAGGCGACCTGTTTGTAGTCCGAGTGTCTGAACGTTGTCCTGTGTCAACAAGACTGCGAAGCGTCCATTCACGGACATCATGAACATTATTTGCCCAACAGCAACCAGAGCCTCTGAAAGAGTTTAAATGAGAAAACATTCCTTTATTACATATTTTTTGTCATTACATTGGTTGGAGCATAAGAAACAAATGGAGAAAAAACATTTTTGATAAAAAAGATTTTATTCATATTTTATTTATAGAGAACACCAGGACTAAGTTATTCAAAAAACCAATAGACATGAAAAGGCAAGTATACGCAAAATTCATTTTCATTCACCAATCAGTTTTTAGGTTTCAGTCTATTTTTAACCAAACTTACAAGGATAATTCTCAACTATGTTATGAAATATATAACAGAATGATTTTATATACTATTTTAATGTATGCAATATTGTTTATGGTCAAACCTCCAAACATTTTTGATCTCTTAAAAAGCCCTGTATGTGCTCTGTACAGGACAAAACTGTGGCATGTATGGTCTCAGAGAAATTCACTCAAATATAATGTCCTCTACAGTGGATAAAGGTCTATGCCTGGGTCCCAGGAGGATATGACAACAATCAGTCAATACAATTGGTGTGCTTTCACATGTGCTTCAGACACCAGACACACTGAAGGGGTTTTCATAGCATCAATGCAGCATAAAGTTCTCTCAAAACAAGGGAACTACATTTTATGGGCAAAATAAGGTAGAAATAGCTCTTTAAGGCAATACATTTGCTATTAAAAATGTGTTTTACTTTACAAACTGTAACTGGATGTATGTAAAAGGTATGGTCTCAGAGAAATTCACTCAAATATAATGTCCTCTACAGTGCATAAAGGTCTATGCCTGGGTCCCAGGAGGATATGACAACAATCAGTCAATACAATTGGTGTGTTTTCACATGTGCTTCAGACACCAGACACACTGAAGGGGTTTTCATAGCATCAATGCAGCATAAAGTTCTCTCAAAACAAGGGAACTACATTTTATGGGCAAAAGAAGGTAGAAATAGCTCTTTAAGGCAATACATTTGCTATTAAAAATGTGTTTTACTTTACAAACTGTAACTGGATGTATGTACAATTCTTTCCATTTAAGATGCTGTCAAACAACACTTGAGTATGAATTTAACTTAATAAAACAAGCAACTCTCAAGGATGAAGTGTGCTTAAATTGCATTGAACGTGCACTTGTAGTGTACTTCAAATGTTCCCTTTCATGACAATGTTTCTTAACACACTTAAGTACACTTTTAATAATGTTATCATTTGTCATGCTCTAAAGAAGCACACTTTTAGTGTTTTGACTTGTATACTAAAGCAATTGATTACAATTTTAACTGCAGTGTGTTATTCAATATTATATAGTTAACATATTTGACTAGTTTATCGTTATTGCAAATGTGCAGTTGCACATATCCAAGTTTCAGAAGAAATGACATTAAGTACATTCTACAGAACACTTTAATCATAGCAAACACAATTGAACTATTTATGAAATTACATATAAAGATCAACCACACTGAAAAAAATTGTAGTAAATGGTAGTAAAATATTTAATATCATCCTAATTTATACCAACAAAACTGCATTTTATGTGTAAAATAAGGTCACAATTGCAGTTTACAACTTTTCACAGTGTAATTGCATTTAATATATATTTAAAATATAATAAATTTTCATTGGATTGTAAATAGCATGCATTTTAAATGTCTGAAAACATTATATTCAGTTCACACCTATACTCTACATCTATTCTTTTAAAGTATATTATTAAGTATTCTTTTTTTAAAATATATACTAAGTGTACTTCTTTTTAGATGGACGACTTGATTGCTCTTACCTCAGAGTGAAGGGCTCATCACCACTGACATTTGTGGTCATGTGACGCTCAGACTGGCACCAGAGGATCTGACCCGAGTGGTCCTGATCCGTTATGTCAGGTTCTGCGTATGTGAGAATGCCGCAGTCGCCACTATCACAGACCCATAAGACTTCAGGATCACAGGGCAGTTTACCAGACTCTCTGTAGTAAAAGTGCATCTGCCAGGAACACATACAACAGACCTTTCTTTTTCTGCACAATTGCAAATAAGCCATCCATGATATTATAAAGAATGCATTCAGAACAACATCTCAACAGAACAACTTTCACTGAGACATTTTCTAAATAACTTCTTTTGTGTTTCACAGGAGAAAGTAAGTCATACGGGTATAAAAACCAAATGAGTGTGAGCAAGTGATGACAGAGTTCTCAGTTATATTTCATTTCGAGTAATATAGAGCAAATGAAAATTGTGAATCAATGAAAGAGATATTCACTCAGTTCTAATATTAACCTGGTCGTACCTCCACTGTTCCATCTGGATATCTGTTTCCAGGCGTGAAGGTCATTGATGCCCCGTAGAAACTTACGGCTGGACCCACAGAAACGGTTGAGCTGATCAGCAGCAGCAGCGCAGCATGTGCCATAGTGACTGTTGAAATGACACTGTGAGTAATGCGGTAAACACAGACAACTACATGGACATTTTCTTCTTCCTTCTATAGTCTGACTGGTTTTGCCAGCTGAACACAAGCATATGAAGAATGGTTCTGATCTTTCTGATCACACTTCTTAGTTTCCTTGAAAAACCACATACAAGATATCGGTTTACTTGTGTGAGTTCATGATTAACATGGACAACATGTTCTACATTCCTGCCAAGAAATGACAAAAAAATAAGGGATGTACCAGATAGGTGAGCACTTCTTACCCGGTGGGTCATAGCTCAAGTTCTTTGTTTTGTGGAGGTTGACAGCCCCGGTCCAAATTTGTATGTTTATGAATGACATGACATGAGAGTGAAATTCTAAATGAATAACCCTTAACCCATCTCTTTTAGAGAACTACAGATCGGTTTCCGTTCTTCCTTTCATTGCAAAAACACTTGAACGAGCTGTGTTCAACCAAGTCTCTGCCTTTCTCACACAGAACAACCTCCTCGACAGCAACCAGTCTGTTTCAAAAGTGGACATTCAACCGAGACTGCCTTGCTCTCAGTTGACTGGCAAGAGTGGATTCCAAATCTTTAATACTTATCTTGCTGGATCTGTCCGCTGCTTTTGACACGGTTAACCACCAGATCCTCCTGTCAACCCTATTGGCAAAGAGCATCTCAGGAACCACACTCCAGAGGTTTGAGTCTTACCTCTCAGATAGGTTCTTCAAAATATCTTGGAGAGGTGAGGTGTCCAAGTCACAACATCTA